GTTAGAAATTGATTTGCATTTCAGTGAGTGAAATAAGTATTTGATCCCCAAGCACAACATGACGTACTTGGTGCAGAAACCGTTGTTGGCAAGCACAGAGCGTTTTTTTGTAGTTGGTCAGCAGGTTTGCACACATCTCATCCACTCCTCTTTACAGATTCTCTCTAAATCCTTAAGGTTTCTTGGCTGTTGTTTGGCAACTCGAAGTTTCAGCTCCCTCCACAGATTTCTATAGGATTGAGGTCTGAAGACTGGCTAGGCCCCTCCATGACCTTAATGTGCTGCTTCTTGAACCACTCCTTTGTTGCCTTGGTGGTAAAGCCAAAGAGCTCAATTTTGGTCTCATCTGACCACAGCACTTTCTCCCAAGCCTTCTCTGAATCATTTAGATGTTCTTTGGCAAACTTTAAACGGGCCTGTACATGTGCCTTCTTGAGCAGGGGGACCTTGCGGGCGCTGCAGGATTTCAGTCCATTGCGGCGTAGTGTTACCAATGTTTTGCTCGGTGACTGTGTTCCCAACTGCCTTCAGATCATTAACAAGCTCCTCCCGTGTAGTTCGGGGCTGATCCCTCACCTTTCTCATGATCATCCTTACACCATGAGGCAAGATCTTGCACGGAGCTCCAGACCAAGGCCGATTGATGGTTGTTTTGTATTTCTTCCATTTCCGAATAATAGCACCAACAGTTGTCTCCTTCTCACCAAGCATCCTTCTGCTGGTATTGTAGCCCATTCAAGCTTTGTGCAGATCTACAATCTTGTCTCTGACATCCTTTGACAGCTCTTTGGTCTTGCCCATAGTGGTGGGAGAGGTTGGAATGGAAGATACAGATTGTGTGGACAACTGTCTTATACACCTAACGAGCTGACATTAGGAGTAACTTCTTAAAGTGGCAGGACTAATCTGTGTTCCACATGGGCACATAACCAGTCTGTGGGAGCCAGAATTCTTGCTGGTTGGTAGGGGATCAAATACTTATTTCACTCACTGAAATGCAAATCAATTTCTAACCTTTAAATAATGTGCTTTTTTGGTTGATATTCTGTCTCTATCCGTTAAAATAAACCTACCATAAAAATTACAGACCCTTCATTTCTTTGTAACTGGGCAAACTTACAAAATCAGCAGGGGATCAAATAAATATTTCCCCCACTGTATCTGAACATAACCTACAAATAAAGTGCTTTTGCTTTTGGACAGAAACGCACAGCGTCTCCCTGACATGGCTGCATCAACACTACTGCGTTCCTGAAACCACGCCTTCTTTCTTTACGTGCACATTTGGGCGGCATTATGCTAATATTTCCACATTGTGACGTAGACATGTGGGGGCGTGTTTGAATGAGGCGCTTTAGCCCGGTCTGGATCAGCCTTCTCTTTTTTGGATAGAATAAATCCTTTTGTGGGAGACTTTGAGCTTTGTAACTCTGCAGATCTTATACATGCACACATAGCCACATAACATCCTGAACCAAAAACCACATATCATGTGACAGCACGATTTAAGACAATAAAATGTCTAAGATTATATTATATTATGAGTGGATACTGGATTATTATTGTAACTTGTATGCTATTGAAAACTTAAAAGTACTTTGTAGAATTATAAATTGATTTTACATTGTTGCTGCAACCTAACATTTGTTCCAAAGTTCACTAGAATGATTAGACGACTATCTAGTGTATTTAAAAACATAGAGTTCATGTATGAGCAGTTACTTTCTTGAGACACTCAACACGATCTGTTTGGCCTTGTGCAAGCAGCATTTGTGTGTTGCTTTGTGTTGACACTCAGTTTGGTACATGTGAATGATCTGACAATTATTTGACCAATCACTAGTGAGGCCACAGGATGAGCCACATGCTGCCAGTATTCAATCACACTCAACTTCTGCTTTGGAAGTTCAAATGTGTGAAAAAACAAGCAGAGTAGCAGCACCAGATATTTTTTGCTACATGTTGAATGCTGGGCATTTGTAAAGCATTATAAGCATTATAACATTGTAAAGCATTATAACGCACTAATTCCGAGTATGGGTCACCATACTTGGCCACATGCCACGTCACTCACTCACTCATAACTGAGTGAACTACTGTACTTATGGTGGAGATTAATACAATGTTGCTTTTAAGGAAAAACTCAAATCTGGTTTACCAGATTAGTGGCAACAAATCAGATGTTGTTTGGTCAAATATTATTGTGTGAAGCAATCAAGAGCGAACGTATGAGCAGAATTTATTGTTGTTTCCAAAGTTTACATACATTATACAGTGTATATTATGGTGGTTCCACAAGGGATACATAATTAATTTTATTAGGCACAGAACAGGTGTTCAAGAATGATACATCAGAGATCATTCTTGAATATTTTTGATTTTAATAGCCCATTGTGTGCTGGGCGTTTAAAGAAAGATTTTTTAAAATGCCACCCTTTGATCACTGACATAAGCATTTTCTAGAAAAGGAAAATTGATTATTTATTTTCAAGCAGACAGAAAGTATCCACATTGTTATTTTCCACACATTTCCAACATTCCATTCCATCACTGGTTCTCTTACACCGATAAAGAGGCACTACCGCATTAATCTTTAGAAATTCTTCTGCCAGATTCTTCTTTCCGTCCTTCTGCCAGATCTTTTCGAAGACAAATGCATTCATTCCATTTTTTCTTGTGTTTATCCAGTTTGAAAGACCATTCAAAATATTGTCTTCCCCACGAATGCATTTTTTCACACAAGGTGAGTTGTAAGAATAGAAAACTACACAGCTATTCTGATCTGCCTGCTCTAGAAGTTTGTCCATGGGAGATTCACCTAAAGGATAGAGCAGAACATGCTCAGAATGTTCCTTTGTGGTACGATTTGGCCTTGCAGCAATGACGTTGCGTGAGTCTGTGCAGAGGAAACATTTCTGTCCTTTACTGAGCTCATCTTTTACATGTTTTGCATCTTTATTGCTGAACGCATTCTGGATATCAGCATGTACGTCTGTACACTGAGCACGTAGAACAGAGATTGCTATTGCATACTGAGCATCTGTTTGCTTTTGGGTTTTTGGCTGGACACTGCAGAGATCAAATTTTCACAATTTAACATTATCACAATTTAAGAAACTAAGAATGCAACTTTCCATCATGCAACAATTTGAACATGCATTTTACCGATTTAATATGTTGATTTTAATTTACTAAACTGTACAAATACAGTACACTTACTTGTCAACAAAATACTTGAAGATTTTAGCAAGGGCACCAGGTTTCACATCCCTCTCAGTACTTTGAATGCCCAGATAAAGCAGGACGATGAGCACACTCGATGGAACCAGGAATGCCTTCAAAACAATAAATAAATAATCTGAGAAAAGATTATACACTGAGAGAAACAGTTTCACAATATTTCTGGTTTTCAGAAGCCCATAACTGGGTTTAACTTTGGCAAAACGGCTGCTGTTTTTGCCTTCTTGCAAATGGAAAACACCCAACATTCCTATTTAAACTTATTTTAAATAGGCCTATAAAAATATGTAGATTTGTGGAGCTGTATGAATATAATCAGTATGAATGTGTACTAATTAAAAATGAAATATAGCAACTAATTAATTTGCATACAATGTTGCCATTGTGACTGACATGGAATGAGAAATTATGTGACTGAGAAAGGGGAAAATATTTAACCAGATTTTTTAAAAAAACACTGAGTGGATTTTTATCATTATAGGGTGGTTGTGTACACACACTGCCAACACACATTTCAGTTCAAACTACTTGTAAAAGTGCATGTAGCATCCTATGACCCCTTTAAAATGACATTTAAATGGGGTGGCTTGTAGATCTACTGTGTTAACCATGTCAGAATTGCACAAACTCTTTGTTTCAGTAGTGTTTAAGATCATATAAAACAGTAGAGAGTAACTCAAGAAGTTACAGCAGATCATTGAGAAAGCATTCCAGTGATTCTTGAGGGATGATGCATATCCTGTGAGCATGGGCATATCCTGTACAAAAGTCCTTTCCACCTAAAACCTGACGTACACGTTCATTCTGAACAGGTTCATTTCAAACATGAAAATATTTATTCACTGATGCAAATATGAGACAAATTCTGCTGTAAAGCCACTCTAATAAAGACAACAGTGTCATTGTTTAGCTGAAGTCAGTTCAGTTCAGTGACTGTGTAAAGTTCATCAATGATGAAATGAGTCCAATTAATCTATAAAGCAGCTCTGGAGAAAACAGAGATGTCATCCCTAGTGAAAATTAAATATACTAAAATGTATTTGAAAAACATTTATTTCATGCCAAGTATACTACAAATATATTTACATATTTATGTACTTAATTAAAATTTCTCACAATTGTACTTTTGGTATACTAAACTCGTATACCTAAAGTCTGCTAAATTGCAATTACCAATTTTGTACTTAATGCACTTTAATTGTGCCAAAGTATGCTGAAGTCCAAATAAAGACTGAATGTGATTGTGCTGAAGAGGAACTACTTCAGGTACACTTCAAATATCTTGCATTTAAAGACTGATATTATTCAAAGATCATACAATCCTCATCAATAGTGACATTAAAACACATTTTAGGTTTAATATTAAGAAATACTCCAAATAAGGTTTAATTATAATTTTTAAATCATTAAGTCTTGAGTGATATGTCAGTAAATACGTTAATATATTTAAACTATAATTAGGATGAAATAAATGTATTTTAAATATATTACTTGGACTGTTCAGTTCACTTCTCAGCACATTCTTGTCAATAATACGGCAGAATATTAAGTGTCCCTAACTAGGCAAGTTAGAGGCAACAGTGGCAAGGAACCCAAACTCCATCAGTGATAAAAATGTACAGTTATATGTTTTTCTTGCTTAAAACTGAAGCAAGTGTTTGTAATAGCTTTTAGTTGCAGTCTAATGTAGTTTTCGTTCACAGAATTAGTTTTCTTCTATATGAGGCTAAAGGCCATAAACACAATTCTCATTTAAACATCCCTCTTTTCTTATAAATAAAATTCCCCAAAATGCATGAAACAACATATACTGTACACACCTTACATAGTTGTGATCGTCTCTCTGACTTCATGTTTGATCTGTAAAAAGTTTCTATCTGTTACAAGAAACGAGAAAAACATCAAATAAGGTTTTAAGCAAGGACATTTATAGGAAAACTATAGGCAGTTGCTTAAGGATTCTTCAGTTGAGGAGGGGCCGACAAGAGTGTCACATTCTCTATTTGTTTCTTGAAAATTAAACTGAAACAAAAAGAGAACGTGACACCATTGTTGGCTGTTCTGGAGCCTAGTTTTCCTAGAAATGATCTTGCTTAATACCTTATTTTCATCATTAGTTCTCTCAGGAAATATATCCATCTCTTTAGTTCGTTAATTGTCTGGTGTGGTTTTGTTTGTGCATATCTGTTAAGTTTACTCTTCGTGTTGGATTATCTCGCTTTTGTTTTATTTAATAAAGCATTTAGATCCACTGTGCTTCCTCAGCCCGGCTGTGACAGAGGGAGACACAAAAGGGATCAAAATACTGCTCTGTTACAAGAGTCTGAGACACTAAATGACAAGTAAACCATCCACGAGCAGAATTTAATATTATGTCTGCAAGGTCTTTTATAATAAATATAATGGCAGTTCGACACAGGACACATGATTACAATTTTATTAGTCACAGAACATGTTTAAGAATAATACTGTGTGTGCAGTGAGTAATAATTCTAATTTTATAGCCCAATGTGAGCTGGGAAAAATTTGTTTTATAAAAAAAAGATATGTGAAATGATTTATCTTCACCATTTGATCATTGACAAGCATTTTCCAGAAAATTAAACGTAATAATTTATTTTCAGGCAGACAGAGCACCACTCATTGAATGACAAATATATATAATATACAGCATATAAATTGCATATAAAATATAGCAAGTAATAATTAATTTAAAGTAATAATTAAAAGTAATTTCCATTCAGCGTTACCATTGTGATTTATATGAATGAAATAAGATATTATGTGAAGTTGGTTCACTTGTCAGAGTGGTTGTGATGATGATGATGATGACGACGACGACATTTTTGATTAATACTATTAGAGATAAAAGTCTAACCATGCAGCCATCAGCCACAGTATTTCATCAGATGGTGATCTAACACTTGATGGCTGCTCTGTCAATTCTTCGTCATCAGTTAGGAACCATATTCAAATCCGTTAAAGGATTTTTAGGCTGCATTAATTAGGACAACCGGAACCGGGAACACTTCCCATAACACACGATGTACTCGCTACATCGTAAGAAGAATGGCATGATGAGGACGTCACTGAATCATCAATGAACTGACTTTAGCTGGAAAAAACGACTCCGTTATTGTCTATCTGCATTGACAAACTATTTTCCTGTTTGACAATGTAAAGCTGCTTTGACATAATCAGTATTGTATAAAGCACTATACAAATAAAGGTGACTTGACTTGACTCGATGTCTGGAGTGTGCAGTATGATCAGTATGGACTGCCTGAAAAGTTTGCTTTTCCTGTTGAGCAGGTTCTTGTGTGTTTGACAGTTGATCTGGACTGTGACAGAGGAACAGTGTCATTCTCTGACCCTGTAACTAACACACATTCCCAACCACCTTCACTGACACCGTCTTTCCATTGTTTCGTAGTCTTGATAAAATAACCTATCTGAGGAAGTTACCAGTTAAACTCTAACAACAGAAAATCACTGGTGAATCTCATCCTGCTAATAAATGAATAAAAAATATAGATAAATATAAGATACTAGATAAAAACCAGTGCGCACACGAAAGCTTGCTTGTTCAGCTCCAACCCTGATCAAACACAACTGAACCAGCTGATTAATCAGCTGATCTTCTGGAACACTTGATAATTATAGATGTGTTGGAGCAGGGTTAGGACAGAACTGAACAGGTTGATCTCCAGGAGCAGGACTTGGGCGTCCAAATTTCATGTAAAGAGGCAGTGACTGTTCCAATTTGTGACTGGCTCTTTTATTTGGAACGCAGGATTTAATTTACTAGAGTTGTCAAGGGTATTTTAATTTCATCCATTGTAATGATCCATGAACTGCTGTAACTTTATTATTAATGCTTAAATATGCCAACAATATTTAACAGTAGGCCTAAATGAATAAATACCACCCATTTAATTCATTCAATAATTTTACTCACCAGAACTTATATATTGTGTTTTAAATCAAATAAAAATGTAATTATATCTGATTGTAATATACTAATTTCCTTTATTAGTGTACTAAATTCAACAATATAAGGTATATTTGTGTATGTAGCGTTTTAAACAAAATTGAAAACTACAACACTATTTCACTATTTTAAATCTTGTTAATTTTCACTTTATAGTACTTTATTATTCTAAACAAATTTCAGTTACACGGAATAATTCTGCAGAAGATTGTGACAAGTTAATAAAACAAAACAATACATGATAATGTATACAACAATATAAGAACATCCAAGTATGTATCCTGCAATTTAGCATGGAATTAAACACTTTCAAAACCTGTGGACAATATATTACAATAGATAATAATTTGTTTACAAAAATGTTTGCTTTCATTTTTCAATTGATATTTAACCATATATACATGACTCTGACAAACAACTAGAATGACGCATTCTTACAAATTCATAAATTCATGCATGAACAGGGTTTTCACAGGTTTGGAGATTTCTGAGCTTCTAACTGAAAACATATTAGTTCAATCCCAGAGTTTCTCTTGAACTCCTCACACAGACATTTCAAGTCAGGAGAACTGTTTTCATTTATGACTACAACTTGTCTAGAGTGGCAGACATGAGTTGTGTATTTCTCATATTTCTCATTTATATGGAGCTCCAGATATTTCAGGACCAAACCGAGGATGGGCCTAGTGAGTGGACAGCCATCTTGTAGCTCTCTGAAATCTTCTGAAGCTTTTGGGATAATATCCTCTAAAATATTGTTTTCCTCTGTTTCCATAGGAACTAAACCTTTACGGAGGGTGTTGATGATTTTTGATTTTTGAGATGTACTTTTTGTGAGTAGGTATGAGAGGCTGTTTTTTAAGAAGGTCCATTTGATTTTCTTTGTTTTTTCTGCCACTTTTACACAGTAACACGGATCACAGATGTTTTTTTGGCTCCTTTCCTCTGGGAATTCTTCCAGTAGCACATTGAGGCGTTTGGCCAGAATCATAGTGACAATCAAATAATCCACATTGAAATGTTTTCTGCCACCTGATGCAGAGATACTTGCATTGAAATCTGGAGGTAATTTGTAGGATTTCATCAAACAGTTGAAACATGTTTTTAAGATCTCTGTAAATTGGCAACAGAAATTCTTGTATGTTTGTACACTTATGCCATTAGGCCCTTTGTGCCCAGAGTCAGTTAAAGACTTGATCACACTCAGTATTTCTGCGCCATTAATCTTTCCTGCTCTTTTGTCTGGTTCACGGAATTGCTCTAATTGTGAAGCAACATTTGGTACTTCATTCACTTCGAGACATATCAGTAGAAGCAAATGATCTTGAACAGTCTCTTTCTTACCCCCCTTTATTTGATCCGCAGTCCTTTTAGCTTCATGGATTTCGACATATTTTATTCGCTCTAAATTGTCTTCACACAGAAGAAACATGTCTAATCTAGAATAACTGTCATTTTGACAATATGTGAATGCCTTGACTGTTGGGTGGAAGTACTGTATGCCCAAGTATCCATAAGATTTAGAGAGGCAGTGAATTTTTTAAATGGGCCCCACAGTGTTTTATGCTTTACTGTATCTGCTTTAGATGTTCGATCACAGCTAAGGTCGAGAACTATGTTGAAATCACCTCCAACCACAAGCACACCCTCAGCTGCTTCCCTCAGGTATTCCTGCAGTCTGTTCAGCATTTCTTTGTCATCATTGTGATTGTACACATTAACTAAAGTGAACAGCTCACCATGAAGATGACAGAAGAGTACGAGATACCCCCCACTATAATCCTCATCATGGCATAAGTACTTAAAAGGTACACTATCTTTTATAAGGATGGCGACTCCTTTGCTTTTGGAATCATAGACTGTAAAAAAAGATTGCCAGCCTTTAGGCTTTTCTAAAGGCAGGTCACTTTCAGGTCCAATATATGTCTCTTGCAAAAAGAAAATTTCTGCCTTTAGCTCGTTTGAGAAATGGTAAATGTTTGGGTTTTTTTGTCCAGAAATATTCCATGAGACAAAGCAAAGAGTTTGCTCTTTAGATGATTCCATTATTGCAGCATTTGCATGTGAATCCTCTGTTGAGCAAGTAAACAAAAACATAAATTAAACATTAATTTATGCCTTGCCCATATGCATTTTTGGAAAATAGATTTTACAGTGTTTTCATTATAATTAAACACAAAATCAACATGTTAAATTGACAGTCAATTTGAAGGAACAACTAAGAATTTAATTTCTAATAATGAAATTCACTTAAAATATTGTGAAACTTACCTTTTCCACTATAACAATTTTCTAGCCTACTCACTGCTTGCTCTGTTGTCCATACAGTATGTATGCTTATGGGGTTTGATGACAATGACGTGTCTGATTTAGAATCACGTCACTGTGGGTGAGGCATCTTTCTAGTGCCTTTCTTTACATTTAGGTGTGTTCTCAAAGCTCAGAGCTTTATATCACATGCACACACACACACACATATATAATTCACTGGTCTAACAGAATAGTTTCACTCCAATTTATGTTTAAATATCCTATATGCTGTGTATATAGTAGGCTACTGAATTTTCCAGTCCAATTTGCATCTCTTGAGGAAACAAATTCAGCTAAGTGATTTGCATCAATTTACATGTCTTTAAACAAATTAATTTCTCCCAACAAGACAGACAATGAAACAATAAAGTGAGATTAAAATGCTAAAAATAAGAGATTCGTTTTTCAGCCTCGATTTAAAAATGGTAATGGAAGGTGCAAGGCGGATGTCCACAGACGGGGGCAGTGACAGAAAAAGCTCTGTCACCCTTCGTTTTCAAAAAATGTTCCATTAGTTAAACAGAATATTAGTTGTGATGACAGTAAGGGAAAGATCAGCGATACAAATGGTCACAGTGAGGATACTACAATGTTCTTTTTGCTCTCCCGGCCATATTTAAATTAACACAATATCAACAAACATTACGAATAACCGGTCCCCAGTATTTTGCTCTGCTGCTCTTCAGTGAGCTGCGCTCTGCATGTTGTTAGGATGACAAAAATTTTAAAAGTTATTTTTTAAGGTTGGTCTGCCTCATTGGTCTTGCCAGTGTCAAAATGACTGAGCAAATCAAAGACTGCTAGCCAGTGCTCAAATTGAGGGGGTCTGGGGGGATCCAGGACCAACCACACTCTCAGAAAAAAAGGTACAAAAGCTGTCACTGAGGCAGTACCTTTTCAAAACTTTTGATAGAACTTGTTTCTCCACTGTGAATAAATCGCTATCTGAATCCATGAGTTTAATTTATTTTTACAGACCTCCACGAGAAACTATAGGGATATACCCTCCCTTGTTACCCTCCTAATTTCCTTCTCTACTTATTCTACCTGTGCTCTCTGTCATTGATCGTTGTCTGCTCTGCAGACCCTGTGTTCTTCCCTTCAGGGTAGTGTTTTGTTTTATTTTTGATTATTAATAAAAAGTCACTCTGTTCTTGAGACCTTGTGTATGACCAGTCACTGGTCAAACTTTAAATTGTTGATTTCAAACCATGCTGCGTTACATCCAGTTAACCTGTCATATTAAAGGGGTGGTTCACTGGGTTTTTTCTAGGCTTGATTGTGTTTATGGGGTGCAGTCTAACATGTGTTAACGCTTCGTTTTTTAAAAAACGCATTATTTTTCACATAATTTACCTTTATTCCACACCTCTCTGTCCCTTCTCTGAGAAACGGGCTGATCATTTCCTTCTTTTATGAAGCCCCTCCCTCAGAAATAGGTGATGGGCTCTGATTGGTTAGCTAGCCCAGTGTGTTGTGATTGGCTAAACCGCCTCTAGAGCGCGTCTACAGGATATTATTGAAGAGGATCGCGCAGAACCTGTGCAAGCAAGGCTTTTAATGGTAGGCCTTTGTTTTTGTTTGTTGTTGTCGCATACTTTTAGATACGCTGTTGTAAATGCTACTGCTTATGTTAGCTTTTAATATACGGTTTTATCCTGATTAAAGCTTTAATACAGTACGGCAACTGCACGCACGTCCATGTTTAACGCTTCTCATAGCTATTTGAAAATAAGTGTATATTTGGAACAGTTCATTGTTGGAGCTGAGCTGAATGAGAGAGAGAGAGATGCAGAGCATGTGCAGAGCAGGAGGACGCGAGGAAACTAACGTTAAAAAAGTGAAATCGCAATGAACCACCCCTTTAAAGTCATTTTCACTGCGTGCAGTTAGTGTTACTGTCTGACCTGCTGCACAACATACCTAAACTGATCCACCCTCCTGAAACACTTACCAGGAAGAGACTGTCTCACTTCTTTCCTTTCTGAGGCTTTTTATAATATCTGTATGCAATCAGATAGCAATCAGCAATCAATGGAGAATGAAAACAAACACTTTCAAAGAGGATTTTATTTAAGAACAGACAGAAGATCTTCGTGATTATTCATTTTGGAAAGTAAAATTTTTAAAGTAATGTTTAGATTGCTGAAGCTTGTGCAAACAGTGAAAATGGATTCACTGTCTGTTGAAGAGCCTTCTTGCAGTGTACACCGTGAGAAACTCGATTTCTTCTGTCTGGAGGACAAACAGCCTGTGTGTTTAGTGTGCAGAGATTCACAGAAACACGACAATCACACATTCAGACCCATCAGTGAAGCCGTTTCATCATATAAGGTAAGACAAATGTCTCTTGATTCATATGTAAACAACAATACATAATAAACATTTTTGATAAATTCTAGGAGGAGCTCAAAACAACACTGAAGTCCTTACGAATTAAAATTACACAAGGAGTGAAAATGAGAGAAGAGTTTGAGAAAACAGTTCAACACATCAAGGTAAGGAAACCGAATCAGGAGTAAAATAAATTTGTATCACAAGTGTAGGATCATTTATACAGTATAGGTCACTATACACAATTATGATTTGTTATATTTGATGTATTTCAGTTTATTACTGTTAAACCCCTGGTTAATTAAATAGGACAAGTAATCAGCACTATGTAAGGTGAGTGCACCCATTAAGATCACTTAAAAGCCCACTTTTAAGTGAAACCAGAAAAAAAGAAAAATCACCAAGGCTGCATTTATTTGATTAAAAATACAGTAAAAAAAACTAATATTATGAAGTATTATTACAATCTAAAAGATTTTTTTTTTGTTTGTTTCAATCAAATATAAAATGCAAATGTATTCCTGTGATAGCAAAGCTGAATTTTCAGGATTTATTATTTGTCACTCAAGTGTGTTTAATTTCAAGTTTAATTTCAGATCAGACAAAATGAAAGCCTTAAATCAAAAGCATTTCCAATTAATTGATTTTTTTTTTTTTTTTTTTTTTTTTTTTTTCAGAAATAAAAAGCTTCAAATGAGAATTGTTTTATACAAACTAATATAAGTCTGAATATTATCTGAGAAAGGATCTTGGTTGGTTTACTTTACAAGTTACACAACAGTATTTTTGATGTTTCAGTTAAGAGAGACATCAAAAGAACATTTGTTTTTGTTTTGAGTTTATCATGAATGATGTGTTGATGTGTGTTTGAGATAAAGTGAATGTGGTTTGATTTCAGTCTCAAGCTGATCACACAGAACGTCAGATTAAACAGCAGTTTGAGAAGCTTCATCAGTTTCTCAGAGATGAAGAAGAAGCTACAATCACTGCACTGAGGGCAAAGCCACTGCAGTTCTGATCCTGAATGTTCTTCCAGAGTCCAGATCTCATCACAGCCGGATCCACAGATGCCTTCTGGAGCTTTGATTGATGTGCCGCGTTACTTGGGCAACCTGCCCTTCAGAGTCTGGAAGAAGATGCAGGACATCGTCCAGAACAGTGAGTCTGGAGAAGATCTGCGCTCTTACACACACACACTGGAAATGATGCATGAGGGAAGATTTACAGATTTAAAGATGTCGGTGTTTGATCAATAGGACAAGTGTCATAATTCGTAATCTATGTTCGGTTCACTCTTGATCATTATATGAACATCAGAATAAAAGCAGCTGTCGATTGTGTCTCTTCAGCTCCTGTGATTCTGGATCCAAACACTGCAAACCCACGTCTCGTCCTGTCTGATGATCTGACCAGTGTGAAAGACAGCTTATTAAACAGTCAACCTCTTCCTGATAATCCTGAGAGATTTGACTATTATTCCTGTGTTCTGGGTTCAGAGGGTTTTAACTCAGGAATATATTGCTGGGATGTGGAGGTTAATGAGAGTTTATGCTGGAGTATTGGAGTAACTACAGCATCAAACCAAAGGAAGGGACGGGATTTCTTTAATACTGATGTCTGGAGTGTGTGGTATGGATTGTGTGAACCGTCTGGTTTCCCTGTTGAACAGGATCTTGATCGTCTGAGAGTTCATCTGGACTATGACAGAGGAACAGTGTCGTTCTCTGATCCTGTAACTAACACACATCTACACACATTCACAACCACCTTCACTGACACCGTCTTGCCATTCTTCTGTAGTATTTACCATTTGAGGATCTTACCATATAGTTATGGTACTGTAATAGTCCGTAAACGTTACACCTGTAGCTCTGAATCAGTGGGAGTGCAGTGAAATAAAAGCTGCTAAATTCAACAACCCTGCCCTGGACAGCTTTACTTACTGAGTTGATCTGATCTGCTTCTTATTAGGGTCCTTTCACATATCGCTTATTTGGTGTCAATCAATCATAATACATTGATTAAACAATTAAATTAAAAGGTTGTAAGACTTGAAAATAATTCTCCTTCATGACTGTTGGACCTCCTCAGGACGTATAAATAATGAACTACTACTTAGGAAGACGGGTTTCCTCAGCTGAGTCTGATTCTGCTCAAGGTTCTTCTGTCCTTCATTAAGCTTTTTCCTTGCCACAGTCACATTTGTTTGTTTTCACATTTAACATAAAGTAGACCGGCTACTACTGCTGTGGCTTTTCACTAGCGGTTTACGAATTTGCAAAAATGTTCTATGTGCCTGTAAGAGTTCAATCTGATCCTGTTTATGGATAATTTTATAATTTGTTATGAGAGTTATGTTTAGCTCATTTCTGCCTTTCAATCTTCTCTAACTAAATCGTTTTAGAAATTATTTACCATTTGAGGATCTTACTGATGCGAGCTTGACTAACGTGACCTGCCAGAACTAACGCTACGCTAGATTTATGGTACTGTACATGAACAGGTTTTTCATTCATGTATAGTGGGGAAAATATTTATTTGATCCCCTGCTGATTTTGTACGTTTGCCCACTTACAAAGAAATGAAGGGTCTGTAATTTTTATGGTAGGTTTATTTTAATGGATAGAGACAGAATACAAACCAAAAAAAATCCAGAAAAAAAAAACATTTTATATAAAGGTTAGATTGATTTGCATTTCAGTGAGTGAAATAAGTATTTGATTCCCTACCAACCAGCAAGAATTCTGGCTCCCACAGACTGGTTATGTGCCCATGTGGAACACAGATTAGTCCTGCCACTTTAAGAAGTTACTCCTAATGTCAGCTCGTTAGGTGTATAAAAGACACCTGTCCACACAATTTGTATCTTCCATTCCAACCTCTCCCACCACTATGGGCAAGACCAAAGAGCTGTCAAAGGATGTCAGAGACAAGATTGTAGATCTGCACAAGGCTGGAATGGGCTACAAGACCATCAGCAAGAAGCTTGGTGAGAAGGAGACAACTGTTGGTGCGATTATTCGGAAATGGAAGAAATACAAAATAACCATCAATCGGCCTCTGTCTGGAGCTCCGTGCAAGATCTCGCCTCATGGGGTAAGGATGTTCATGAGAAAGGTGAGGGATCAGCCCCGAACTACACGGGAGGAGCTTGTTAATGATCTGAAGGCAGTTGGGAACACAGTCACCAAGCAAAACATTGGTAACACAACGCTGCAATGGACTGAAATCCTGCAGCGCCCGCAAAGTCCCCCTGCTCAAGAAGGCACATGTACAGGCCCGTTTAAAGTTTGCCAAAGAACATCTAAATGATTCAGAGAAGGCTTGGTCAGATGAGACCAAAATTGATGAGACCAAAATTATGCTCTTTGGCATTAACTCGACTCGCCGTGTTTGGAGGGACAGAAATGCTTCCTATGACCCCAAGAACACCATCC